ATGATAAACCCGACTCGAGAAAAAATTCGAGTCGGGTCGATCAACCCGGGTCGACTCGACCGGCTCGGAGCACTATTAGTATTAGAAAGAGTTAGCTATGGTGATAAATGTGACAATGATCGACAGCCCACAGGTGACATTTGGTCATTTCATATTTTGATTGGTTGATATCTTATCATGTGATTCCAATTGAAAAAAAAAAAATAAAGCAAACGGAATGCAGGCCAGAACTATAGTACTGGCCAACATTACATTCAAACAACTCAGGTCATTTGTCATTTGAGCAATTAAATGACATGTCATTTGTAATTTGTCATTTGAATCATTTGTCATTTCAAGTCATTTTCCGAACACTGATTGAATGAGCAACAATAAATGTTGCACAATCGTTTTCGTCTTATATTATGGATCTTCATCCAAAAAATTATTATATTACTTTTTATGTTATAAATTCTTACAGAATGTCGAAATATTAAAATGCAAATATTTAATATTTACAATCTTCTACCCTTTAATTATGCTATTATGAATTCGATTATTCCATCTATTTTCACTGATTTATTAGTAGACGCATCATAAGTTTTAGAAGTTGAAGCTAAACCCGAGGTTAGAATAAGACTTCGTTCAACAGCTGGTTTAGCAGGGTTGAAAAATGGATTATCATCCAAGATTACCGCTTCATATCTTGAAGAAATTTCATTTAAATGGTTGGTAAAAACAGGATCTTCAGAATACTGCTATTGTTGCAGTCGTTGTAATGACAAATTGTTTGTTTGAAACTGTTGTTCGTAAAGATGAATTATTCGATTGTTGTTGATGTAACGACAAGTTATTTGTTGTTACGGTTGTTGGAATAAGTTATTTGTTCGTTGTTGTTGTTGCAACGATAAGTTATTAGTTAAATTTGTTAAAGGTGTAGCCAAAGTTCTTTTTTAGTCATGATAAGTAAAACCAATAAAAAGACAGAGAGAGATTGCTCAAACACTGATCGACATCTTTATTTAAATTGATCGTAATGCTTTTGCACCATCTCAATCACATTGAGGGAGGTGCGTGTTCCTGTTCCGGTTGTAACCTCTACGGAATTCGGTAAGACCCGAAACACTTGCAGATCATCGCTTTAATTACAATCATTCAACTTTATACAATTTTGGAAACTCCGCATACAAGATATAAGATGTTTCTCGTTGGAAATAATGTAATATACACGAGTTCGAGAATTCCATAGTATTTAAATTATGTGTACTGATGAACTTCTTTCAAAAATAGATAATTTAAAATGGTATACAAAAAATTTGAATGATTCACAGAACTTTCATATCTAATTTTCTACAAGTACATTGGAAATTTTTTGATTTCTGTACCAATCTTAAATATAATAAAATGACATCAAACAGACCTTCGGGTATCAACCCCATAATTGACAACGCAAAAAAAGTCAGCAAGCTGCCCCATTCATTAATAACGAAGATATATTAAATAGAATCACACTCAAATTACAAATGACCAATTGATAAATGGATTTTTCAATGAGTCTTTGTTTATCTAAACAAAAAATTTTTTTCTCAATATTTAGTGAAAATTTCCTTTTTTGTATAAGTCATGTTATTAGATGTTTAAATTTAAGTTTCTTGTCTAAAGGTAAAAACTGACAATATAATTGTATTCAATATTTGAATTTTTTTATTTACAAATTATCTTTAGTACATTCTTTCAATATTTTGTAAATTTGCGTTCATTATATTCTTTGAAAGAATTTCTTGTATCACATCTATAAGAATTAGACTCGCAGATCGTTATTCTGATTTAAAATAAAAAATTTAGTGTTACCAAAACTCAGAGAATAAAATTTTTTTCCTTTAATTGTTGTACCTTGCAAACTTTTAATTCAGTCAACTTATACATGAAATAAAATTATTTTGTATTTTATGTAATACTCGCTATGGCAAATATTAAGTTCGTTTGATTTTGTTTTTTTTAATAAATTCTAATCCGATTCCTGGAAAAGAAATTGATGAGTAATTACTTATTTAAATAGAATACAAAAAAAAATTATTTAATCTATTTCTAATAACCAGAATTTTTCATCGCGTAGATAAACCAGTTTAACCTATTCTTCCAAAGAAATTCAACCACCCGAAGGAGAAGAATTTAATTTCTTACTCCATTCTTTGATTGCACAAACATTCCTTTACACTAATAGCGGATGAGTTCTCACCAACGTGACTGGAACCATTATTAAAGATTAAAGGAATGAATTATATATTGATAAGTTTAAGGTCGCCTCGCTCTATATCTAGATGAAAGTGAGTAAAAATGTTAGTCTATCGTTATAAAGGGTTTATCTAAGAATGGAGCGAAAAACCTTTTAGGAATGATATTTATGATAGGTGGTAAAGCACTTTGGCAAGCAATTGATGACTCTTTCGCAATTTAAAGACGATTGCATCATCTCTATCACCTAATGATGATAATAATGTAAGCTTGGCTTATAGTTGAAAAAACTGTAAGCATGATCATATATTTTATTAATATATATATTTTTTTATTATAATTATAAAATCTAATTTTCTTCTTCGATCGATAGAAAAAGGATGGACAAAGGTGCTTTTAGTGATATCAAACATGTAGTTGAATAAATACTCAAAGAGGAGCTCCACCTTACCCTAATGAATGTAAGCCATATAAAAAAATATATATGGGGACCGCCACAGCAAAAGGGGCGATAGGTCGACCAATCAGATTTTAAGATTTTGTTATGATCACATGACCGCTGGCCTAACCTTTCAGAAAATATATTTTTCCGTTATACTTTATTAGCGCAAATTTTGTTTTTTGGAACGAATTATTTTTTATTAAATATTTCATAAACTTTATTAAGACTATATAGCATATAAATTACATAAATTTTAAAAAATAAATATATAATAAGAAAGCCAATGTTCTCAACTTATTACTTATAAAAAAAAATTGAAGTCATAAAGACAGTTTTTTAAAAAATCATTTTTTTTGGTGATGATCGGCAAAATTAATGACGAATAATAAACTGCGATTTTTTCGAAATCACATGATCGACGTATCGCCCCCTTTTGCTATGGCAGTCCCATATGTCAAATACATCTAGCCTATTGGTCACTAGTCCTAAAACTCTTCCCAAGGAGTATCAATCAAATAGAATATTTACAATAGATCCAGATAGTATATACAACTAGATTAGGGTGTTCCCTAGGAAATTTGAATAACGATTTATTTATATTCGATTAGAGGATGTGGTTGAATTTCACAACGCCTTTCAATATGTAATAATGTTATTCAAAGATCAAATATTTGTTTTATTTATTGTTATTAGTTAAGAATGACCTAAGAGAATTTAATTCTAAAATGATTTAAAAGGTTAAAAGATATAAACGATTTAAATGCTTTAAATTTGATGATTTTGCGAAAATTTTAGCCAATCGAATTTTAAGAAATATTATGTGGTACAAAACTCATTTGAAATATTTTTAAAGGTTACACTACAGCAAAAACATTCCCTTTCAAAATTTTCTTACTAAATGTCTGGCTACTTCAAACCGCAAGATCCAAGCACTTTTTCATTCTTACGATATCTAACGTTTAGATATAGCAAAGAAGGAATACTAAAAGCAAACAAAAAGGAAGAATGGGCTGATTTTGTCGTTGGGTTAAAATTGTTTTTGACAGAAAGCAATGATGATTCTTTAAAAATATATTGGGAGGAAGAGCTAAAAGATGGAAATGTATATTTGTTGTTATGTTTGAATTATAAATCCTTTATGTTCTTTTAGACAGCTTATTAGAGAGAATTGTCTTACTTGGCTCACTTTGTGTTCCTTGTACGGCTAAGATTTCTATAAGAATAGTCTATCAGCTAATCATTTTAAAAGCTTTCTTGCTTTGTATATGCCTCTTTCGCTTGCTTTGCTTGGGTCTCTTTGAGCTCCTTGTGCAGCTTGCTTGAGTCATTTATGCAGTTTGAACATCTTTTAAAGCCAGATTTTTTTTAAAAAGAAAGTTTTTTTTAATATCAATATATATGTTCATCATGATTCGGAAGATGTATTATGTTTATGAAGAGGAATAAAATCAGAAGCGGGTGGGATTTTATTTTTCAATTTATATTCAAGCCTTCTAAGAGATTTGATTGAAAATGAAATTGGAGGTAAATATTCTTATTAGCTGCTTTCAGCTGCGTTTCTTATTACTTCCTTTTATGAGTTCTAAGAATGTTCATTGACTGAAATTGACTATCTGTTTAGTTTCACAACAGCAAAACTTGGGTTTGACACCATCTCGATCATCTACATCTTCTCGATCTGTATCTTATCAGGAAAATTCGAGAAAATGAAAAAAAGGAGCATGAGTTGCGAAACAAGGTTTTTGAAAAGTACAATGAATTGGCGGTATATGCAATTATATCTATGATATTCATAATATAATTTGTTTATGGGATTTTTTTTTTATGATTTTCAGTTGTACACCGCAATACTATCAAGGGTGTGGTCTACCCTTAAAGGAGTTGATGAGAT